GGACCAGGTACCCATTCTGCTGTCACGTGCCCTCCTTCTCTCTCTCCCCTAGTAGTACCCAGTGACTGCCAATCCCACCCTGTGCTCATGTGACTAGTGGTCAGGACCTGTTTATTGTTATAGGCTGAAAAGACGCCATTTTAGTTGTATTAAAACCGTCATTTAGAAAAGGCATAAAAACTTGTATTAAAAAGTTGTTCCTTGTAATTGAGTCAGGCTAAATGTAAAAGTTACTTGAATTTAAAGATGCACATTCTTTCTTCACCCTGTCACTGCTCTCAATAATGGCTTATCAGATAACATTGGCCTTCTAGCCCAGTCAGGCAAGACTGTGCTAGGAAAGGAGAAGGGCCAGCGCTGAAGAAGAAGCCAGACCACCTAATGATTAGGAGAGTAGTCCAAGGCCAACAAGAATGTATCTGAAAGTGATGTGGGCATTGCCCACCTCCTCTCCGTCAGTGAATATTAGGACATCAGACTGGTATAGGCCAGGGCTCTGGGAATAGGAGATTGTTAAAATTATATTTTAAAATAGTTTAAAGCTATCATTTTAAATGTTCGGATTTTCCCTTCCTTCCAAATGATGTAATTGTCTGCCTTTTCCTCTAAATAACCGTAAAAGAACATATTGTAAATTCCAAAATATTATCTAAAATGTCAGCATGACCAGAAGACTTGGTGTTACGTCAGTGGCCATGTATCAAAAATCTTGAGTCATCCTAAGACTGCACGTAGGCTTCAAACTCAGAGTGGATGAAGGACTATGAATTTTGGGTATAAAAATTGGAATGAATTTGTGTTGCCCTGAGTGGGTTTTTTTGGTAAAGATGCTGATACATCTTGTAACCTGGTTATAGAATTTAAACACTACCTTTTCTCCCAGTTGCTGCCTCTCATCTTTGATTGTCCTTGGTCTTGAAACATACAGTCTGAAAAAACTGGTGTTAAAAGAATTTGAGCTTGAATAGTTTGTAGTGCCTATTTTAGATTGGCCTGGTACAGTTCACCTGTTTTGTGTTTTGCGTGTTACAGTTTTTTTTGTTTTTTCTTTCAATTTTCAGTTCTCTCTTCACAACTTAGCTGCTCACAGGAAAGGTTATTATTTTCTTTTTTTTCAACTTTTAGGTGTCTATTAGTTAGGGTTTTCCAGAGAAATGCGACCATAGGTTATACAGATAATAGGTAGATAAACAGACAGATAGATAAATAGATTGACAGAGATATTTATGCTATGAAATTGGCTCACACAATTATGGAGACTAGTAAGTCCAAAACCTGCAGGGTGGGCCAGGAGGCTGGAGACTCAAGAAGGCGTCAACATTGCAGGTAAGTCCTCAGGCTACATCTGATAGCAGAATTCCTTCTTGTCAAGGGGAGGTCAGTCTGTTCTATTAAAGTATTTAACTAATTGGATGAGATCCAGTCACATTATGGAGCGTGATCACTGTACTCAAAGTACTTTCATTTAAGGTTGTCATCCAAAGACACCTACATAGAAACATCAGAAAAATGTTTGACCAAATATCTGGGCACTGTGGCTCAATCGAGTTGACATATAATATTAACCATTACAAAGTCATATGATTTTATCTCATTTACATGATCATGACTTTATTATTCCAATAATAAGTTATTACTAAATTATTACCTGATAGTCATAGAAGGATTTACAAAGTATACTTGGAAGTTTTTTTTTCCATTTCTCTGTTCATTTCTGAAAAATGAAACCTACTATAAGGTTATAGGTAGAAAAAAGGAGTCGAGGAAGTATGATTTGCCCAAGTGTGCGTGGTGCCAGGAACCCTTGTCTTTCTCCTCTGTTTGCTCATCCTTAGGCTACAGGACAGATGTAAATACAGCTGGTGTCCTTCATGATGGAACCTGAAGGCTATAAAAGTTGCCACTAAAAATAATGAATCTGTTACAACTCTGGCAGTTCTACTCTTAAAACATTATTACTTTGGACTAAATATCATCCTCTCTGAACTACTTTGTAAAAAAACCTTAAAAATATTATTAACCCAACATCCAAAATACAATCATTTCAACACATTCTTGAGAGAAAAATGATAATTAGATTTGACATTAATTTTAGCAGTTTTTTTATTGTGGCAAACATACATAACATAAAATTTAACATTGCAAACATTAAGAGTACAGTTCAGTGTCATTAAGTACATTCATGTTGTAGAACCATAGCCACTATTCATTTCCAGAAAATTTTCATCATTCAAAACTGAAACTCTGAACTCAGTAAACAATAACTCCTTATCCTTTCCTCCCCTCAACCCCTGGTAACCTGTATTCTACTTTCTGTATTTATGAATTTGTCTTTTCTAGATACCTTATGTAAGTGGAATTATATATTATATTGTCCTTTTATGTCTGGCTTATTTCATTTAGCATATTGTTTCAAGGTTCATCCATGTTGTAGCATGTGCCAGAATTTATTTTTCGAAGGGGGAATAATATTCTATTATATGCATATACCACATTATGTTTATTCATTAATCCATTGACAGCAACCAAAAGGAGCACCTTTTGGTTATTGTGGATAATGCTGTTATGCACACTGGCATAGAAGTCTTTGGGCTACTCTTAAACGTTAGACATCTTAGAAAAGATGGAAAGGGAAGGGAGTCAATAATAGTGTAGAAACAACTTAGACTGTGGTAGGAGACAGTATGGGATTTTGGAGGAAAAGATATCTTCTCTATCATATTGTGTATTAAACTTATGATTATGGCCATGTTTTTAGGCATATGCAAGTAGGCTGGAGGATATGATTTGCTTTAGAGGAATGGATAGGAAGATAGAAGATTGAGGTTGTGGGGAGAGACATAATGGAGTTTAACTTCAAAAAAATGAGGCCCTGCCCTCATTAATTGAGGGTGGGCCCAATACCTGAATCTCTCTGCTTTTCTGAAGCTTGGGTACCACCTTTTCGTTTATTTGATGATGCCACCCTTTCTATCATTCTGTCTCCACACTTCATTCCTGGTCTATTTGTACTGATTAGCTGCATGACTTTGGAGACCACTTTACTGCCGATGGACAATGAATCACAGTTGGATGCTCACAGATCCACTAGCTAGTAGGGCCCATTGCCAGTGAGGTCAAGTGTCTACCTACTGTTCTCTCCTCCTAAGAAGGAGTTCACAGCATGGAGTCTCCCTTGTGGTTGATCCACCCACATCCTGCACCCAACACTTGTGCAGTGAAGCAACAGAGGGAACATATAGGGCCAATTATTGCATTCAGATTTCAGCTGTTCAGCAGCACAGTGGAGGATATTCTAACTTGAAATAAGATGCATTTAGCACCTTTACAGTTGTGTGAATGATACCTGTCAGGACCCCTGCACTGATGAGTAAAAGAGACTAGGGAACATCTCAGATCTCCAATTCTGATTCTGTAAATGCAAAAGTAATAGGCATAACACTTAGCAAAAATTAAAATAAAATTTTATTATTTTATACCTAAGTTAAAATTCAGACAATAGCATGTGCTGTACATTCAAATGTTTGACAGAATCAGGACACACTACAAAAAGAGAGACATGATCAAGGAGATAAAAGAGAATTTTAATTTTTAAATTTAAATTTAATTTAATTTTAGATTCAGGTGGTAATGTGCATTTTCGTTACATGGTCATATTGTGCAGTGTTGGGGATTGGGTCTCAGGTGGCCCATCTGCTGAGGGTGAACATTTCTATACCCTAACACCCATTTCTAGCTCCATTGGTGTCCCCAGTGTCTATTATTTCCATTTTTTGTGACTGTTTAGCTCCCATATATGAGTGAGAGAAGGGGAGATGTAAGAGAATAATAGAAAAAAACATTTTCCCTGAATTGGAAAAGAAGGCAATAAGACCATGAAAGGCGTCTGTAAAACATGAAGAGTAATCTGGGTGACAATTAGGGCAGGGTTATCTCTCAGCACAAATACAAAGCCATCAATCTTGGCACAGAGCCGAGAAAACATAGGGGATTTATACAGGCTGAGGAAATAAATGGCAGATGTTACACAGGAAGTAATATAACATGGTAGTTAAGTAACTGTATTCAAGTATTAAATTTAATTTCAAATTTTGGCACAGTGACCCCATGCTGTGTGACTTAGTTAAGTCTCCTTGCTAGTATAATCTTCATTTAGTCACTTGTTGTGATAAGACAAATATGTTACCCCATAAAATTGTGAAGATCACCTACAACTTGGAAAGCACTTACGATAGTGCCCAAAACATTGTAAGCACACATGATGGGTTCATAAGCATTATTATTAAGGGCCTATATAAATTCCCAGGTAATGCATAATAAACCGATGGTGGGAATTGTGGCAAGCTTTGACTTCCATAAATTGTCAGCTTTGTTTCCCCCATTTTAATAGCTGTTCATGCCAGCTAAACAATGTCTCCGTAATAGAAAAAAAAAGAAAGCAGGGACAAAACTAAATCATTAGTAATTTGAGCATATTTCCTCCAAGGCATGTACTATTTTCCAAGTTAGTTTCAACCATGCATCTTTCTTGTTTTTCTTAGCATTATAAGCATGTTTAATTTTTTTTTTTTTTGAGTTGGAGTCTCACTCTGTCGCTCAGACTGGAGTGCAGTG